TGTGTAGACAGTGCCAAATTTCAAAATAGACTCTCTCAAAATAAGCTAAGCAATTTGCATAGCTCGAATTGCATTGATTATTTCGAGCTACATGGTGCTGTATAGATGCACCCTTACCGTTTTTTCCCACAGGACTCCTGTCTCACTCAGTGCACAGACTGGACCTGCTCGGCAGTAAAGTAGGGCTGTATAGTAAAAGAGGCTGTTGTATGGAAGCATGGTACTTCATTTATTATAGAAACTGGAAGGTGTATTCCTATGGAAATTGCTGAGACACTGTGGGCCTAAGCCCACTCAAAGCTGAAGGATCTCTCCTTCATCTGAGTATGAAGGGCCACTGAACCTACCACAAGGAAATACTGGGTACAACAAAAGAAGAAATAGGGATGAGATAGCATGTCAGAGGGGGAAAAAATCAGGGGACAAGCAGAGAACCCCTGACAGCACCCACTGCTCCTCAAAGACAACTGAGTAGTTAATGGACACTGCCCAGAGGAACTACTTTGAGGCATAACTTCATAAGGGATCAAAAATAAGCCTCACACTTACAGTGAACCCTCTCCATGAGGCAACTTCTCCTGGGGTGACGGATGGCTATCTTGGCCAGGAGGAGGTTAACAAAGAGCTCTCACCACTTTCCAGGGCCATGGATGAGGTTTATATACATGAGGAGATGCAGCCAGAACGTCGGGAGCAGTTGGAAGAGGGGCTGCAGTCTCAAGTACCCTACAAACATGTGCATCAGGAACTTTCTCTCACCACAAGAGTGAGACGACAGGGGCATTTATGAACAGCAACAGATTTGTGACCAAGCTCAAAACTCTGTGAAGCAACCACTTATCAATAGCTATGGGACCAAACTGGAGTACGGACTAGACTACCGGCAGTTCCTGGCCCTCCTCAGATGACAGCAGGTCCTGACACTTGGTGCCAGGGTGGGAGATGAAGGTGAGGATGAAGACAGTGTGAAGCACAAACATGTGGAGATGTACTGGCTGCAGGACAGAGGTGGATTGGCTGGATATTGTGCAGCCAACCGAGGCTCCTGGATCAGGGACTTTATCATCAAGTTCTAGTTGGGAGCACCTTCCGGCAGGGTTGGCTCAAGAAAAGCAAGAGAAGCAGGAGGCAAGGCTGCCTTTACCTCTTGGAGCACATGATGTGGGATATTCGGGATGCACAGCCTCATGTGTTGGCTGTGGATCCCAGGGTCCACCCAGTCCTCTGATCATAGTTCAGGAGGTATCTGATTCTGATGCTACCACCATGGACAATATCCAATGCACATAGATGAAGGTTGTGTAAGCAGAGGTTCCATGAGGAGGTCTTCCCCCTTGATGGCCGCTATAGCATTGGTTGCTGAAGCTGGGTTCACTGAACTCCAGTGCCCTCTTCCAAAGAGAAAGACACTGGAGCAGCCTTGTCTACCTACACAACCAGTCACCCTGGCCTTGAGATAGACCCAATTCTCCAGCAAGGAGGAAATCTGGCAGAGAAGTAAATGTCCAGAGAGAGCAGCAGCCCCAGATCTCACCAGATGGCATGCAGTACAGATGAGAAGGTGGTTCCCACCATCCATCCATGGCCACCAGTTGAACTTGGGATTTGGATCTGAGCTCCCAGACATAAATAAAACACAGTTGTCTTCTCCAATTATACTGCCAGTTTAAAATTTCATTGTGCTTATGTTAATGTGTGCAAACAACTTTATCCAGAATTAGAAAAAGAATTAAATCCCTTTTTGAAACTACTATAAGTAATTTTGGAAGCAGTTAAAACAAATATGATTAGCTCAGTGATAAAGATAACCCTAAAGATTCAATACTGGAGACATATGCATTTTTAAATCCAATTAATCAAGAGACATTTCCTCAGCTCATGGTTACATGAGCAACTTAAATTTATAGTTTGTCAGTTGCAAGACAATCAGGGTTGAAAACTTTTAATCAATTCTAGTGACACTCAGCTACACAGGATGGCTTTGAAATGGCAACACATTTATCCTGCCGCTGTAGTACCCATAATAATTAAAAATGGGAAGCTTCTAACACAGCACAAAAAGATTAGATACAATGTCAATAAAGAAATGAACATTAGGTCCTGAAAACAAATCTGCATCTAGCAAATCCACCACCTTCTGTTCCATATTTTTTCATCATAAGTATATTACTTTCCTGCAGAGGATAATAGCAGCCATTGAAAGGAAGAAAACAGGTAGCATCATTATTTTCAGTTTCAGAATGAACATTAGAGAAATGGTTTCATTTACATACATAATACTTCTTTAAATTATAAATTGATGCTTCTGTTTAAATCTTTTACTTCTATTTATTCTATATCTAAATAATGAGTATGACAGCATGTTTACACAAGGAAGAATAAACACCTATGTGGTTTTTGCTAAATAGACTCTTATAAGGCTACGTCTACACTGTCATGATTTTCCAAAAATGCTTTTAACGGAAAAGTTTTCTGTTAAAAGCATTTTCGGAAAAGCACATCTAGATTGGCAGGATGCTTTTCCGCAAAAGCACTTTTTGCGGAAAAGCATCCGTGGCCAATCTAGATGCGGTTTTCCGCAAAAAAGCCCCGATCGCCATTTTTGCTATTGGGGCTTTTTTGCGGAAAACAGTACTGTGCTGTCTACACTGGCCCTTTTGCGCAAAAGTCTTTCAGAAAAAGACTTTTGCCTGAACGGGAGCAGCATAGTATTTCCGGAAAAGCACTGACGATCTTACATGAGATCATCAGTGCTTTTCCGGAAATTCAAGCAGCCAGTGTAGACAGCTGCCAAGTTTTTCCGCAAAAGCAGATCTCAAAAGCCGGCTTCCTGCCATAAGGCTTGTCCAGGGTGCCTGCAGATTTATGAGGTGCCAGGAGACAGGAACTATAGAATTGCGATTACTTTGGATGGAGTGTCCAACAGGGCACCTGTGTTATTTCCTGGAGGCCTCTTCATTTGAAAGAAATCCCTTCTCCCCGTCCACGCACACCTTTTTTCCAAAAGAGCTCTTTTGGAAAAAAGGTGTGCGTGGACGGGGAGAAGGGATTTCTTTCAAATGAAGAGGCCTCCAGGAAATAACACAGGTGCCCTGTTGGACACTCCATCCAAAGTAATCGCAATTCTATAGTTCCTGTCTCCTGGCACCTCATAAATCTGCAGGCACCCTGGACAAGCCTTTTGAGACCCCCCCCCACCCGGCGCCCCCCCCCCTGCCACAGGCCTTCTCTCTGATGGCACAGCCACAAGCCCCCCCAAGACCCACCTGGCCCTCTCAAGGAGCAGCTCCAGGGGTCCCAGGACCCACCCAGGGGAACCAATAGGCAGGTACCCTCCTGATCCTGAGCGGAGATCCTGTCCCTCCTCCTCGTGCTGGGGGTGAGGAGGAGAGATTGCAGGATCTCTACTCCCAGCACCGCAACACAGACATCTTTGAGTGCATGACCAAGTCCCTGGCAGAGTGCAGACACTCATCCTGCACCTTAGAACAGGTCTGGAATAAGGTTTAAGAGCTCCATCAGGGATACGTCAGGGGCCAGAGAGCGCAGCTCGTGCTCAGGGGCAGGACCCCACACTTGCCCTTACCTCAACAAGCTGCACCAGATCCTGGGGGGGTGGGGAATCTGTTTCTCCACCTGTCGTGGTGGACTCGGGCCCCAAGACCCCCATTGTCGCTCGGCTGGAGGTCACGGAGGAGGAGGGCCAGGGCTAGCAGGAGGAGGAGACGGACACCATCACGCTATCCCTGGAGCTGGTGCCTGTCATCCAAATGTCTCTCTGGCCTCATCAGATGCCGGGGAGGGATCTCCAGGTGAATGCTCTCAGTTTGTCACACATGCAGGATTGGGGAGGTGGGCGCTCAGGGGGTGGGGTGCGAGTGTCGCTTGGGCTGGAGATCATGCTGCAGTCTGTGCACGTAAAACCACATGCAGCGTTAGTGTGTGACACGTGGATACAGCAGGCAGCCTCTGAGCATGGGTGGGATCCTGCTGCCAGGCTCAGGGGACGCTGCACATGTCTGGCCCCAGGGTGGTGGGAGAGGCCTCCCAGCACCTGCTATGGCTGGAAGCAGGCTAGCCACAAGGGCGCAGGCACCACCCCAGACACACCAAGGACAGTGCTGTGAGTCGCAGGTGTGTGTGCAGACCCCAGGGAGGGCCATGAGGGGATCCCACTGTGGCCGGACACTTCCCTTGCCTGCGGGCCGGGGGTTGGGATGGGAAGCAGGCAGCATAGTCCCCTGAGCACCTCGGGGCCCCTGTGAGGCAGAGCCTGCTGTGTAGGCCACACATGGCCTTGTTCCCAGGGCATCCCCCTCCTCTGGTCCGAGGACTGTTGGTCACTGCTCAGAGAGGAGGGCACAGCCTCAAGGACAGCATCTTCATGGATAACTGACCACCTCTCCCTCTTTGTGTTCTCCACAGCCAGACCAGTCGGGACTGAGGGGCAAGCTATGACACCTGAGCCAGCCACCAGAGCCCAGGATACCTGAAAGCATGCCACGGTCCAGGAAGACCTCACGTGGCAGCATGTCAGCATCCTGAGCAACATGCAGCAGACCCTGGCACAGAAGATCCGTGAGGACGCAGAGTGGCAGAACCGCGTGTAGGACCAGCTCATGCAGCGGTGTGATAGCATGTGTGCCGTCATGCGTGACATGGCACACCCGCCTGCAGTCACTGCTCCTCCCTACCACCTCCTGCTTCCCCATGCCTATTCCCCCTCCTCTTGCTTCCCAAGCAATGCCCGTGCCCCCTGACTTCACTCCAGCCCCTTCTCCTGCCCACCTCTCTGAGATTCCTGGACCCAATCAACCCCAACTCCGACAAGGTCTCCGCACCCGAGGTGGCACATCCAGCTGCCCACCCATGCCACTCCGAGCCCCCCTCCAGGTTATGAGTCCTCCACCCCCTACCCAGCTTTATTTAAATGAAAGATTAATACAGACTTCATTTTGTTGGAAACCAAACAGGTGTTTTTACTGAGAGGCCAGGGAAGGGGCAAAAGAAGGGGTTGTGGTGGGGAAGGGATAGGGCAGCAAGCCAGAGGCCCCTGTTGGAGAGGCCTTAGGGAGACTTACTGGGGTCCTTGGGGTCAGGGCCTCCCAGATGCACACCCCAGCCTGATGAGCCTGGCAGATGGCTGCTGTCTGCAGATGCTCGAAGGGTTGCCCCTTGTGGCTGGCATCTGCTCCCCACCCCAAGAGGAAGGCCTCCCCTTTCCTCTTCACAATGTTGTGGAGGACACATCATGCTGTGACCATCTCGGGGATGTTGTTCTCCCAAACGTCAAGGTGGGTCAGCAGGTACCTGAACTGCACCTTGAGGCAGCTGAAGGCGCATTCAACCTGGATACTGGCCTGGTTCAGGTGGGCATTAAATTGATCCTTGCTGGGGTCCAGATGTCCAGTATAAGGCTTCATGAGCCATGGCATGAGGGGGTAGGCCACATCACTCACGATGCACAATTGCATCTGCACGTCCCCAACTTCTAGTTCATGGCGGGGGAAGAATGTGCCCATCTCCAGCTTCCTGTACAGGCTAGAGTTCCAAAAGATGTAGGCATCATGTACCCTGCCCAACCACCAGACAAAAATGTTCGTGAACTGTTCATGGTGGTCAACCAGGACCTGCAGCGCCATGGAGAAGTAGCTCTTTCTATTAATATACTGGGCTGTTCGATGCTCAGGTACATGGATTGGTATGGGGGTCCCAACTATGGCTCCAGCACAGTTCAGGAACCCCAGGGCAGCAAATCCGGCCATGATTGGGTCCAGGTCTCCCAGGTGGATGACTCTCCACAGCATGGCCTTCACAACCTGCAAAAGGAGACAAACATACACACAAAACAGAGAATGAGAAAGGGAGTGCCTGAGCCTTTGGGAGTTGACCACCTCCCTCTCCTCGCTCCCTCCCTTCCCCCAAATACAACAGGAGCTACCCCCTATGAGACCACACCCCCACCCCCAGCAGCCAGGCTGTGTGAGGGTGGGATGGCAGAAGCCCCCAGGATGGGGCTTCCCACCACCACCATTCCACCTCCCACAGGCCCCAACCCCCCTTGCTCGGTGGTCCTCCTTTTCCTTGACTCCTCCTCCACCCCGTGCAGGGACTGCAGCCTGAGAGTGCCTTACCTCCATGACAGGGGACATCCCCATGCCAAACTGGTTGCCCACGGACTGGTAGCTGTCTGGGGTGGTGAGCTTCCAGATGGCTATTGTGACCCACTTCTCCAGGGGGATAGCAGGCCGCAGGTGAGTGTCAAGTATCCAGAAGGCGAGCCAGGCACATAGCTCCAAAAAGGTGGCTTTCCACGTGTGGAAGTTTTGGAGCCACTGCTGGTCTTCCCACTGTTCCATGACCAGCTGATCCCACCAGTCTGAACTGGTGTTGAGCCTCCAAAACTGCCTCTCCACTGTGGGGTGTGGTTGCCAGAGTGTAGCTCCAGCACCCAGGGAGAGGGTCCCAAGAATGAGCTCGGGGTTGAGCTTGGTCAGGACCAGGAAGGTAGCTGTCACAAAGTGCTGCAGAAACTGCAGTATGGCTGTGTGGGGTCATCACATGCCCAGGGGCAGCTCCGGTTCCATGGCACAAAAAAAAAAAGCCGTGGCATCCAAAAAAGCAGGGCAACCACAGCAGACACTGCAAGAGCTTTGCTGTCCCTTGAAGAGGTACACAAGCACGCAGCAGAAGCAGAGAACTGGCTGTCCAGGGGGTCTCTTTAAGCGTGTGTCTCTGCAAGGCTCCGGCACCAGCACTCGGAAGCAACTGGTGACCTAAAGCCCTAGCTGAAGTGGTTCTGGGTGGCCTTTTATGCAAGACAGCATTCAGTCTGGATGTTCTCTTTCAAAAAAGCAGATCGCTTTTCCGATGTGCTTTTTCTATGCGCTTTTGGAAGATCTCTTCTGAAAAAAACTTTTTGAAAGTAGCTTGCAGTCTAGGCGTAGCCTTAGATACCACAAAGGAGGTGAAAGGCTAAGTGACTCCAGTGCTGTAAGACTGTGGTTACCTCAGGCATCAGCAATTCCCTGAATACTTTATTCCCTTCACAAAAGGGTCTAAATTGATTTTGAGAGAGAAAAAAATACCATTATGTAGATTTTTCTCTGCTCAATGCAGATCCTGATAATTCTCTTGGCTTGTGAGAAAAGAAAGTCAGGCAACATGGAGCTCTTCAGGTAACAAGAAATAAATGTTTAAACATCCAGCACCTATAGGGCCGTTTCTTTAAGTCAGTCATGGAAAGCTAAGCAAGATACAGACACAAAATGTACTCAGCTGAAGCTCTCCAGTAAAGCTGAGACAGAAGTCTTAGAGAAAATACTAGCTTCCTAATAAAGTCACTTGTCTGGTTTGGTGTCTTGGGCCAGATTTTTAAAAGCATTTAGGCACCTAACTCCATTTGATTTCAATAGATCTAAAGGGCTAGAAGGGACCACAAAGGTCATCTAATCTAACCCCCTGCCAAGATGCAAGGTTTGTTGTGGCCAAGCCATCCAAGAGAGATGGCTAACCAGCCTCCTTTTGAAATCCTTCAGTAAAGGAGCTTCCTCAACATCCTGAGGTAGTCTGTTCTATTGCCCAACTCTTTTTACAGTTAGGAAGCTTTTCATAAAAATTAATCTAAATCTTCTGTGCTGTGGTTTGAAGCCTCCTACTTCTTGTCCTGCCCTCTGTGACAAGAGAGAATAACTTCTCTCCATCTTTTCTATGGCAGACTTTCAAGTATTTAACACCACTAGCATATCTCCCCTTCAGGGCCACCGATGGCAAGAGGAGGCAAAGAGTTGCCCTGGAACCTCGTGATTCAAAGGGGCTTCCAGGCTTCTAGCTGCTGCTGCTACTACTGTGGCAGCAGCAGGAGCACTGGGACCTTTAAATTACCACCAGAGCACTATGTTGAGTGCTGTGGGGGAGGGGCACACCAAGCTCTGTGCAGTGTAGAAAGCTGGCAGTCCCCAGTCCTGGCCCTTCATCCCAAGGCCCCACCCCTTCCAGGAGCGCAGAGTCAAATCACATACACCCCTGCCCAGCGGCCCATGCAGGCTGTTGTCTCCTCTTAATCTCCTCTTTCCCAAACTAAATATACTAAACATCTTTAGGGGATAGCCAAGTTAGTCTGTACAGGATAAACTTTAAAAAACAACAAATAGTCTGGTAGCACTTTAAAGACTAACAAAACATGTAGATGGTATCATGAGCTTTCGTGAGCACATCCCACTTCTACAGATGACCCGCTGTGCCCACGAAAGTTCATGATACCATCTACATGTTTTGTTAGTCTATAAAGTGCTACCAGACCATGTGTTGTTTTTAAAATATACTTAGTTCCTTTAGCCTTTGCTCACATTCCATTTCTTTGATCATCTGTCAATGCTGTTTCCTCACTCTGGCACTTCAAGTGCAGAAAGTAGGGGCCTGCAAACAACAAATACTTTGCCACCAAAGGCTTGCATTAAAACTCCCCCGCATTACAGATTCCCCAGCCTTGGGTTGGTATTGCTGCCACCATCCAAATGAAAAACCCCCTTTAAAACCCAGGGAGGTACACATGGGAATTCCTTCCTGTGGGGTACCCTCTATGTCCCTTAACTCTCTTTCTGGAGAGAGCTTGATAACCCAACTGTTTCTAAAATATGGAACTTTAGCTTCCCACCTGGTAGGACACAGGAATTAGATCATGTTCTTAAAAGGGTGATTTTTATGGAAAAAAAGAATACATCTGAGAAAACATTGTTTGTTTGCTAAGTGGTACAGAGCAACTGAAAAAAGAATTAAGAACATAGAGAAATGCTTTCCTGGGATTCACCTTGGAAAGTTACAGTATAAGTAGGTAGTTAAATGTGCTTAGCACAGAGAAGTCCAACAAATAATTTGATTGTATCTGACTACACATTCCCTGTTCTACTCACATATCAGTAGTTTCACAACTTAGCCCTTCTCTAGGCATTGATGTCACTGGATTCTCCATACCTGGCTCCTGACAGATCCTTCTAGGAGCTATTCCCTGGCCATAACAGGAAACACTGCCGCTTCCAATTCCAAAATCCAAACTGTTTTCATTGGCTGTCCTGGACTCCTGCCA